CTTTGGTAGACTTTTCTTTTGACGAGTATGAAGTGTCCTTCCTTATTTTTTTTTTTTGATAACGTTTGGTTGGAAGTTGATTCTATTCGATATTAGGATAGCTACTCCAGCTTGTTTCTTGGGATCATTTGCTTGGAAAATTGTTTTCCAGCCTTTGACTCTGAGGTAGTGTCTGTCTTTGTCACTGAGGTGCGTTTCTTGTATTCAGCAAAATCCTGAGTCCTGTTTACATGTCCAGTCTGTTAGTCTATGTCTTTTTATTGGAGAATTGAGTTCATTGATGTTAAAAGATATTAAGGAAAAATGATTGTTTCTTCTTGTTATTTTTGTTATTAGAGGTAGAATTATATTTGTGTAGCTGTCTTCTTTGGAGCTTGTTGGAAGATTACTTTCTTGCTTTTTCTAGGTTGTAGTTTCCCTCCTTGTATTGGAGTTTTCCATCAGTTATCCTTTGTAGGGCTGGATTTGTGGGAAGATATTGTGTAAATTTGGTTTTGTCATCAAATATCTTGGTTTCTCCATCTATAGTGATTGAGAGTTTTGCTGGGTATAGTAGTCTGGGCTGGCATTTGTGTTCTCTTAGGGTCTGTATGATGTCAGTCCAGGCTCTTCTGGCTTTTATAGTCTCTGGTGAGAAGTCTTGTGTAATTCTGATAGGTCTGCCTTTATATGTTACTTGACCTTTTAATATTTTTTCTTTGTTTTGTGCATTTGATGTTTTGATTATTATGTGATGGGAGGACTTTTTTTTTCTGGTCTAGTCTATATGGAGTTTTGTAGGATTCTTGTATGTTCATGGGCAACTCTTTCTTTAGGTTAGGAAAGTTTTCTTCTATAATTTTGTTGAAGATATTTACTAGCCCTTTAAGTTGGGAATCTTCATTCTCATCTATACCTATTATCCTTAGGTTTGGTCTTCTCATTGTGTCCTAGGTTTCCTGGATGTGTTGGGTTAGGAGCTTTTTGAATTTTGCATTTTCTTTGACAGCTGTGTCAATGTTTTCCATGGTATCTTCTGCACATGAGATTCTCTCTTCTATATCTTGTATTCTGTTGGTGATACTTGTGTCTATGACTCCTGATTTCTTTCCTAGGTTTTCTATCTCCAGGGTAGTCTCCCTTTGAGATTTCTTTATTGTTTCTACTTTCATTTTTAGATCCTGAATGATTTTAATTCCTTTACCTGTTTGGTTGTGTTTTCTTGCAATTCTTTTTTTGTTTTTTCATCATGAGAAGTGATTTCAAATGTGGATCCCGCTTTTCCAGTGTGATGGGGTGTCCACGACTTGCTATGGTAGGAAAACTGGGTTCGGATGATACCAAGTAACTTTGGTTTCTGTTGCTTATGTTCTTGCGCTTGCCTTTTGCCATCTGGTTATCTCTAGTTCTACCTGCACTCACTGTCTCTGATTGGAGCCTGTCTTTCCAGTTATCTTGTTTGTGTCAGAACTCCTCAGAGTCCAGCTGTCTCTGTGATCCTGTGATCCTGAGCTCCTGGGTAGAAAGAGCTCCTGTGACTCAGGCTGCCTCTGGGATTCTGAAATCCTGTTGCTCTTGAGTGCAGTGGTTCCTCTAGGATGGGTCAGGATGTGGAGTCTTCAGGGAGCAGACAACCTAGGAGTCTCCCCTAGCCAAAAGGACTAGGAAAGGGGCGGAGGGGTAATGGTATTCCAGAGGGCAGGGTTTGGACAGATGATGGGTCCTGAGTACCCCAGGCTCCCATCTGCAGCTCTGGGGTGTAGGGTTGTCGGGGAGGGTTTTTCTAGGATAGGTCAGGATATGGCTCATCTCTGGTTTCTTGACAACAGTCTTACTTAGTATCCCAGGCTGGCCTTGAATTCGTGACCGTCCTGCGTCAGCCTTCTTAGTGCTGAAACACAGCATTACAGTCATTACAGGTGTGTACCAGCATGACTAGCAGTTCATTTGATCATTCTTTCTGTCTGAAAGTTAAGTACATGTTAATTAAGTATTCTACTTCTGAGATATAGCCACAGCTGTCCTTTTTAGTCTTTATTTGCAATCTGCCTCAGTATTCTTATATACATTTTTGTTTTTATTCACCCATTCATAAGTATTTGTTTGAGTTTCTGCTTTAAAAATAGTAATTATTATTAAATATTATTTAATAAAATTTAATATTATTTAATGACTTTAATAAAATTTAAATAAATATCATTAAACATCAAATAATACTAATATTATTGTTTGTGTGTGTGAGACAAAGAGACTGTGCTTACTATGGTATATAGTAAGAGGTTTTAGAGGATAGCTTTTCAGGAGTTAATTATCTCCTTCCATCTTTTTTTAAGGCAGGGCATCTCGTCTGCTGTAAAACCCAGCTTTGAGCTGACTCTCTTGTCTTCTTCACATTTCATTTTGCCATAGAAGTGCTGGGATTACAGATCCCAGCAAACATATCTGACTTTTGTGTGAGTTCCAGGCATCAAACTCAAGTCATCAGGCTAGAATAGCAATTGCTGGGATCCTTCTCGCCTGAGCTTCAGCTTTTCATTAGGTATTACTTAGACACAATACAACAGAGGAACAAAACATAAACAGCCATTTCTTCTTTGAAATTTAATTCTAAAAACATCAAAATCTCTTCTCCCCATCTCTTTTTTGAGTGTTCTTGTCAGATACCTAGCTGTATATTGAACAAAATTCAATTAATGCATCCAATAGATACACCAGAGTTAGTATGTCTAATTTTTAGTTGATCATATCCCTCATCCCGAACTTCTGTTTTTAAACTTCTTCTCAGTGATTAATGTTACATTCATCTATTAGCTCAAGCTAAAAAGCTTGCTATTCAATTACTCATCAAGCCTGATTGATTTTACCTTCAAACTGTCTCCTGGATCTATCCATGTCTTCCCATCCTCTCTGTGACATACATAGTTAAGGCTGTTGACGAATGTGTGCATCAGCTTCCCTAGCAGTCCCATTGGCTACACTGCACCACAGTTCTCTTTATGAAATAGAACATTGGATCCTATTTCATTTCTCTTAAAAGACACAATAGTTCTGTATTGCATTCCAGATAACTCCACATTCTTAACATTACTTGATTTCTGAAAACTACTGAAGATGCCCTGTGATTGGATGCTTTCACAGTAAAACTATTCTTAATTATTGTCCTATTAACTAGTGAGATTTGTTTTGGGGTTGGGGACAGAAACTTCCTTGATTAAAGTAGCATTATTTTTGATACAATGATATTGGGCTGAAGTAATGAGAACAGAGACTGGATTATTATAGCTTATGAGAAGTTTGGCATGCTCCATCCCCCTCAGGTTTAGGATGGTACTGATAGCTGGGATCAGATTATACATTCAATTTCTTTATGTAATAGGTACATACTTAATTAAGTAGAAGAAACTATGTTCTGTTTTGGAATGCTCTAGGAGGAAGCTATGTCTGCAGGGAGAGCTGCCTTTGGGCTCAGAGTTAGTGAGAAACAGCCTTATCACTTGCCTGGAGCAATTTATGGTTTTTTAAAAAATTTCTTTTAAAAGGAAACAAGGTAATTACCCTCTAGCAGTTGCCATGACAACAGTACTATAGCCTGGGAGAATTTTCTTTTTATCCCCTACCCATGACTAGGCAATAAACTCAATTATAAAAAAATTTAAATGGCATACCAAACCAGTGTACCATCATCCCTGAGCAGTAAACAGAGACATACATGCCAGGGAAGAAAGGGGTTATAAGTGATCAGCTAAACAGCCTGTGACTCAGTAGTAGTTATGTTTGCTCAGCATAGGGCATTCAGGTGAGTAGAACCAGCTGAGCCATCAGCTGATGCCCCCAGAATCTTGGGTGTTACTTTCAAAATAGCCACATGCCCAAAAATCTGAGTCTTCTGGACCAGACATTGAATCTTCATTGTGGATCTTAACACTGCCAGAGAGCATAGTTCAAGGAGTTGTTTCCTTTCTGTCACCCACTTATTAGGAACCTATAAGAAAAACAAAAACCTGACAACTTTGATAACCATCAAATGATAGCTGCTGATCACATTCCAGGGACTATGCACTTGCTGTGCGCTTCCTTACCTAATCCTTATGACACAAAGGGACTTGTCTTGTTTTTCTCATATTACAGGTGAGGAAGTATCTGCAATGATGTTTCCAAGACCGCATTGTTAGTAGATAATAAAGCCAGGGGAGTTGAGCTTTAGCTTAAAGCTTATGTTCCCAATCAGGAAGTTAAATTATTTCCTTTTTCCTAGGATTAACTGCTGATCTTTATCTAGTTTTTTGTTCCAAATTCAGTTTGGGTATAGGAAAAGATTTAAATTTAACTTTTTTTTTTTTTTTTACTTTTTGCTTTAAAAGTGGATAGAAAATGCTTTTATTTCAAAGTTTGTATGTTGATAATCTTAATTAAGATGCTATATGTAATTCAGGAAAGGTGCTTTTCTCTGAAAATACAATATGCTAGGGTATTTTTTAAAATATATTAGAAAATTAGAGGATAAGTTTTTAAGAGCTAAACATTGGTCTGCCCCACTTTTAAACCATCCTCTCTAGCGAGTAGCAGGAGTGGATCTCAGATGGATGATCACCCCTTTGTACATGTTAAGATAGTCGAGCTTCTTATAATATCTTTGGTCGGCCCAAGCTTAGAGAGTGTGGACACATGGAAATGCTTCTTTGAGACAGGAGATCAAGATTTTGTTTTGACTAAGCAAAGACATATGAGCTCCTGAATGATGATATTATTCTGAGAGACCTAGAAGGGATTTGAACAGCAGCAAATCAGCAATCTTGTTCTTTAGTAAACAGCAGAGAGCCAAAGTAGTGTATAGATTTGCCTCATGTTTTTTAGAAGGTAGACATTCTGTAATGTAAAGCTTGTGGCCTACCAATAGAGTAGGCAGGAGAATGATAAGATATCTAAGGATTGGTGGGAGGGAGAAATGATCTTCTATTTTTAATTCCTACTAAAATTATATCTGTCATACTTCTTTTGCTTCTTCTTTGTGGTTTTCTTAGGTCACTGGACCTATTTGGGCTGGGGAGAGCATCAGAGTACGTAAGCATTTCAATTCCTTATCATTTTCCAGACCTTTTTCATATATATGTGTGTGTGTGTGTGTGTGTGTGTGTGTGTGTGTGTGCATATATACACATGCCCAACTAAGTGTGGCATATAAACATGCATGTATTGTGGGAGTGTGGAGGTCAGAGGCTAACCTGTAGGAGTTGATTCTTTCCTTCCAGCATGTAGAGCTCAAGGATTGAACCTCAGGTAGGTCATCAGGTGCCTGTACCCACTGAGTCATCTTGCCAACCCAGTTTATTTTTTTTCCTTTTAATGTTTTCTCTCTCAGCTATGAAGCTAGATATTCATGCATATCAGTACATGTAATTCAGTTCTCCTCTCCTATTTAAATGATGGCAGGGTGGGGTAGGGAGCAGGAGAAAAACGAGAAGAAGGGAAGAGAGGAGAGTGATTTTGAGTTAGAGTTAAACAACAAAGTTGCAGTTAATAGGACTACTGAACTATTTCCTAAGCACAGTGGTGCCATCAGCCTTTAGTGTTGGCACTGTTGGTCTCCTGACATAGGGCTGCTATGACCAGAAGAAGGTTTATTCTGAGCTGAACTAGAGACAGGATTACTGCTGTGCATTTAGTGTGGTCTTGTGATGATAAAGCTGGGAAGATCTGCAGCATAGACTTCTGTTTCTGGTTTGTTAGTCTAGCCAAATGTCATCTTAGGAAATGAGAAACAGCAGCCATGGTTTGACTTTTCCTTGAAGCATTCTACCTACACTAAAATCCACCTTTGTTCTTGAGGTTGGTGAACAGGCAGCCAGTTTTTTCTAATAGAATGTTCCTCTCTGGGCTGACTTTGTCCATTGGACAGGGCCAGAACCAGCCTCAGTGGCACCCAGCCAATGGATGGTCCGAGTTATATGGTCATTGTCATTGGAATGTCTTAAGTACTTTCTGTGGCTTGTGTCCTGCTAGAGAACTGCTCCAAACAGCCTGAGAAAGATCAGAAATGTTAAGTTGAAAAAGTAAATCACCTCAGTTGAGAATTCTTTGTTAAGTTCTATACCTCATTTTTAAATAAGGTTATTTGGTTGTCTGGAGTCTAATTTCTTGAGTTCTTTGTATATATTGGATATTAGCCCTCTATCAGATATAGGATTGGTAAATATCTTTTCCCAATTTGTTGGTTGCCGTTTTGTCCTATTGACAGTGTCCTTTGCCTTACAAAAACTTTGCAATTTTAGGAGGTCCCATTTGTCAATTCTTGATCTTAGGGCATAAGCCATTGGTGTTCTGTTCAGGACCCTGTGCCCAAGTAGTCGAGGTTCTTCCCTACTTTCTCTTCTATTAGTTTCTGTGTATCTGGTTTTATGTGGAGGTCCTTTATCTACTTAGACTTGAGCTTTGTACAAGGAGATAAGAATGGATCAATTTTCATTCTTCTACATGCTGACCTCCAGTTGAACCAGCATCATTTGTTGAAAATGCTGTCCTTTTTCCACTGGACAGTTTTAGCTCCTTTGTCAAAGATCAGGTGACCATAGGTGGAAGCTTGAAATACACAAGATTCAACTCACAGACCACATGAAGCTCATGAAGAAGGAAGACCAAGTCGGGGCGCTTCGGTCCTTCTTAGAAGGAGTAACAAAATACTCAAGGGAGCAAATATGGAGACAAAGTGTAGGACAGAATCTGAAGGAGGGGCTGTCTGGAGACTATTCCATCTGGGTATGCATCCCATGTGCAGTCAATAAGGGTAGATGCTGATCTGGATGTCAGGAAGTGCATGCTGACAGGAGCCTGATATAACTGTGTCCTTAGAGGTCTGCCAGAGTTTGACATAATCAGAGGCTGATGCTCACAGCTAACCATTGAACTGATCAAGGGGTTCCCAATGGAGGAGTTAGAGTGAAGACTGTAGGAGCTTAAAGGGTTTGCGGTTCCATGGGAAGAACAATAATAACCAACCAGAGCTCCCAGGTTCTAAGCCACCAGCCTGGGAGCACATAGGAAGGGACCCATGGCTCCAGCTGTATATGTAAGGAAGGAGGGCCCTGTCGGGCATAGGTGGGAGAGGAGATCCTTGGTCCCATGAAGGCTGGACGCTGTGTGTGGGGGAATTCGAGGATGGGGAGGTGGGAGTGGGAGGGTAGATGGAGCACATCTGCAGAGAAGCAGGAGGAGGGGCGATGGGATGGTGGTTCCTGGGCGGGGGGGGGGGGGAGGGGGGGTGGTGGTGGTGGCAGAGAATGGGGTAAGGAGATACATCTGAAATGTAAATAAAATATCCAATTAAAAAATACAAGAAAAATAAAGAAAATAAGTCACAAAGAATACATATAAGTTCTCTTTTATTTTTTCTCTGGCCAGCAAAGTTCTAGTGGTATTCAGGATTTAAGAGGACTACATACCAGAGAGGTGCAGTGTTGAGTATTTCATTCAGTTTTCTTGAGTGTTTCCTGTGAGGTTGGAAGACCATCCTGCCACAGGTTAAATTATCTTACCTAGGCTACATTTATTTTCTATTATTGCCTTTCATGTACATGCTGAGTGAAGTACCAAATTTTTCTTAGGATATACATATTCTAGAACATGAGTGTATACACATATATATTCATTATGCCATCTTTCTTATTTGAACTCTGGCAGTTGTTCCCTTCCCCCTCCACTTTTACCTACTGAAAAGCTGTGGTTCTTTGAAGCCGTGTCCCTAAAGTTTTTCTTCCTTCCCCATCGGAAGTGAACTTATTTCCTTTCAAGGCCTTTCAAGGCCTCACTCTGTCGCCCTGGCTGGCTCAGAACGCTCTTATATAGACCAGGCCTCAAACTTGTCCGTATAGTGCCTGGGTTACAGTGTTCTCATGTAGTAACTTCCTTGAGTAAAAATTCAGTATTTGACCCATATTTTTATTCTCCTATTACGCCAACATGTATTCTAAATCTTCTGTGTTGTTTAGACTTCTATGTGTAGGCATCCAGTATTTGAATGAGCAGCTATTGCTGGCCTTTTAATTTTCCATCTTTCAAATAAACTTTACCAGGGGCTTTTCCATTTAAAAAAAAAGTATTTTTCTTTATACTTTTTGAGACATGACCTCACTATGTAGCCCTGGCTGGCTCAGAGTTCTTTTATATAGATCAGGCCTCAATCTTGGGCATGTGTCACCGCAACTGGTTATTTTATAATTTTTGTCCTTAAACTAGCTCACAAGTTCCTTTGGCTAGGTGATAGTCAAACTTGCACTCAGCAGTTGTTCTTTTTCTGTAAAGCTGTTTTCTTCTCTAGGTCACATGGCACTGAGGGGTAAGTCATAGAGGCTGTGCCCAATACACTAAACCACGTTTTATTCAAGCTGAAGGGTTTACCTTTCCCTTGATTTTTAATTCGCTTCAGTGCTCAAATGTGTTTCTTTCTTACTCACGTTATCTGTAGACTAACATTGAAGCCCTGGAGTCCTTTTCACTGCCTGTGTTTTCCTGAAGTTTAAAAAAAAATTTTTATCTCACTTCTTTTTATTGCTTATTTTATTTATTTACATTTCAAATGTTATCCCCCTTCCCAGTTTCCCCTCCACAAACCCCCTATCCCATTCTCCCCCCACCCTTTCAAGGAGGACTGAAGGAGCTTAAAGGGGTTTGCAACCTCATAGGAAGAACAACAATATCAACCAACCAGACCCCCCAGAGCTTCCAGAACCTTAACTTACTTACCAAAGAATACTCATGGAGGGGCACCCATGGCTCCAGCTGCATATGTAGATACAGAGGATTGCCTTATCTGGCATCAGTGGGTGAGGAGGCCCTTCATCCTGTGGAGGCTCGATGCCCCAGTGTAGGGGAATTCTGAATTTTTTTTTAAACTTGATATCCTTGTTCCAACCCAAGATTAAGTTCTTCTGGCCAATACTTGACAGCTCACATTGCCCAGGCTGGTTTTGAACTTCCTATATAGATGAGAATGGCTTTGAATTCCTAATCCTCTTGCTTCTACCTTGCAAGGTTTAGAGTTATAGCAGTGTGTTTCATCAGTTCTTGTCTGCATTTTTGTTTGTATGTTTGAGTTCATTGGGTCTTTGTCATTTCTGCTCTATGAACCAAACTAGGATTTTCTGCTCAAGTGTAAATTTGATCTTACAGTCTTTGGGAGATTTCTTCAGCCTACACTGCTACTGAGATTATCTTTCAAAATTACAGTTATACCCGTTATGTGCTAAAAGTATTGCCATTTGGGAATGGTGAATGTTCCTTTTCTTCACTGTGAGCCAAATAGGAACTTGGCAAAAAAGGATATGTGGGACCTTGTTAATCATACACATATGGGTATAGTATCAGATACGGCTTCTCTGTAATGTGGTTTATATACTGTTAGGTTCAATCCTTTCCAAACACAGTTTTTATTGGTGATGGTGTTTTAGTTATCATTAAGAAAATCTAGCTAGTTGTTTCTTGTTTTAAAAGCAAAACTAATTTGATCACTATTGCATTGTCAAATGAGAGTCTGGATATGTTTTCTGCTTCTCTCAATCCGCACTCAGGATAGGAATTCTGAGCACAGGGTATAGACTCTTGATAGGAATTATTAGGGAAACTTGTATTACAGCAAGGCAGTTCTGCTGCTGTTCTTGAGCTGCACTGGGAGCCTTTGGATTGATACAAAAGCCCTGAGCACAGCTGTCCTGATTCTAGGTCCAGCTTCTGATAGGCATGCTTATTTGGCTCAGTCCATGCACTTTAAAGGCTGTAAACTCCAGACAAACTTTAAATTAAAATTAAAATATATTTTCTTCTAAGACATGGAAAAGACATTTTCCCCTTTGCTCTTTCCCCTTTGATAACCACAGAGACCCAGAATCTCTGGGAGATATTTTAAAGCAGAGCTTAATTAGGTCACGCTATCTAGAAAACTGGAAGCAGAATTCCAGAGAATTTTGCATTGGGAAAATGCAATTTAGATGTTCCTCTAAGAATCAACAGTAAAATGAAACTGTCATGTCCTTATCTCATGACAAGGAGACAGACCCTTTTGATGTCCCTGAACTTCTGTGCAGCTCAGTTTTTACTCTTACTTTTAAGTTTCAGATGTATAGCTACCTAAGTTAGAAACAGGAAACAATCTGAAAAATTACATAAAACTTGGGTGGTTGGTCTATGTGTTTTCCGCAGGCTTCGAAGACCCTGACAGTGCCGTTGATGACCGGGACAGTGACTACCGCAGTGAGACCAGCAATAGTGCCCCACCTCCTTATCACACAACCACCCAGCCCAACGCTTCTGTGCACCAGTTCCCTGTGCCAGTGCGATTGCCACAGCAGCTATTTCTTCAAGGCAGTTCCCGTGACTCTTGCAATGACTCTATGCAGAGTTACGACCTTGATTATCCAGAGCGTCGGGCCCTCAGGTTGGTATTGATCCAGGTCCCATGATGGCAACTGACAGACAGGATCCTGGTGATTTGATGGAGTTGGTAGTGGAAGTGTAGCAGTATTATGGGCCTTGGTCTCTTTCCCACACACTTACATTTAGACATTTCCAGTAGCAATGTTTGTCTTTGTGAGCCTGTTGGTGAGGACATGCCCACCTGGGTGAGTGGTTGAATAAAACATACTTCTCCTACCTCATCTCTTCTCTGCAGCAGTAATTTTGACAGTTTACTAAGATTAGAACAAAGAAATGATCAGTATAACTGTTTGAATAGTCATTACTGTTTATTTCTTTAGAAGTTCATAAGAAAACCGATATAATCTTATTACAGCACATTTGGTATTTTTGCTTGAACTTTAGTTCATTTTATTAATTTCTTCAATACACATACTTATATGTTTAGATAAATTTTAAGGTACAACAATATGCATTCAGTGAAGTATCTCTCACTACATGTATGGTTTTTCTCTATCTCATACCTTCCTGTCTCCTGGTTCCCTTTATACTGCTATTTTTATGTGCCCTTCCATAGACTAATCTCATATATTATAAGGAAAAAGGAAAAACTTATGTTTGTGATCCTCTCTATTCCCCAGTATTTTTTTAAAAAGATTTATTTATTTATTTTATGTGAGTACACTATTGCTTTCTTCAGACACACATCGGATCCCATCACAGATGATTGTGAGCCACCATGTGGTTGCTGGGAATTGAACTCAAGACCTCTGGAAGAGCAGTCAGTGCTCTTAACCACTGACCCATCTCTCCAGCCCTATTACCCAGTATTTTTTTTTTTTTGATGTTTGCTAAGTTTATTTATTTATTTATTTTTATCTAGCCATCCCTTTTATTTATTTTTTTTTAATTTTTTTTTGAACATGAAATGCTTTTTTATAGCATGTTTTACAAGGAGAGGGGGTAAGAGGGGCCAGGTGGTGGAAAAGTACAGAATCTTCTTGGCCTCTGCCTTGAAACATGTCATTATTACCCAGTATTTTAAAAAACTATTTTAACCTACAATTTTGGGGAAATAATACAATGAATACTCATATTCTTGTTGCTTAGACTTAGTTGCATTAACACATAGCCACAGTTATTGATTTCATTGTCTCTAATATATTAATCTACATGTGCTCTTTGTCCTGACATTTTACAGTAAGTTGCAGACATTATGTTATGTCACTGGAAGGAACTTCAGCACATAACTTCTGAAAAGGGAACTTTATTTTATATAACCTTAGTGCGATGATAATACTAAGGAATTTTATAATACAATACAATGACATAATCTAATACACAATTAATTTCTCCACTTCTCCCAGTGGTTTTGGTGCATTTCTTTCTTCCTTCCTTCCTTTCTTTCTTCCTTCCTTCCTTCCTTCCTTTCTTCCTTCCTTCCTTCCTTCCTTCCTTCCTTCCTTCCTTCCTTCCTTCCTCCTTCCCTCCCTCCCTCCC